ATTTCACCTTTCTCTCATATATACTTAATGATATGTTAATGATACAACCACACGATAGTTTCTCCCAGGATCCCTGCTTCAGTACAGACTATACATACTTTGGTGACAGATCAGGAAATGTGATATGATGCCATCACCTGATGCTGCCTCATTTCTGCAGAAACCAAAAGATAAGCTGGTTTCAACCTGAAGCTGAAATGCTACTCTGAAAAGTAAACAATCTACTGCTTGTATTCTTGCTTTTGCCAAACAGACATTACATGATACTTCATGAAGTTACCTAAGCCAAGTTTGCATGAGTAGTTACTACCTGGAATTCTTATTTTCCGGGTGCCAAACTCAATACATCCTAGTCCAATCAACTGGAGTTGCAAATCAAGAGATTGTCAGAGACGCATCTAAAATGGCAACTGTGTTTTAAACATATGAAGTATTACATAATATCACCTACTTTGAAAAAAAGTGTTTCTAGGTTCTCAGTTTAAGCACCTGCATTTTGTACCCTCAGTTCTCTAAAATGAGAATAATCCATCCTCACTTTACAGAAATAACGGGGGAAAAAAGTTTATTCCTGCTCAGAAAGGTCACAACTTACACAAGGGAGGAAGGAGCATCACAAAAAAAAAAACCCCAAAGAAAAGAAATAACTAGCCTTTTAAGTAGCATCTGAGTGAAATGTTGGAAAGCAAGCATTGTACAGGGAGAAGGAAACAACTGCTGCTCATGTATGAGCTGTCCTTTTTCTGAGGATGGAGCAAAAAGGGGATTTTGCAAGGGTTTAAAAAAAAAAAAAAAAAAAATGACACAGTCATGAAATCAGAGGTTATAATGCACTAAACGAGGTTGAATTAAAATACATAGAAGAGTTAGTTTTGGCATTTCATAACTTGTTAATAGCTTCACACTCAGAAGCCCATCAGGACTTGAGGCAGTGGGATAGGAAGCATCTAAAAAGCATGTTAAACAGTAAATTCAAGTAAATTACATTTTGTTCTCTAATAACAGAAGTTGAGAGTAGACTATTAACTTGCACCTAGTTTCCAATTCAGTAAGAGGTCAGTTAAGGCTAGTCACATGTACCTTACTTCATAAACAGTCATTCCACCTGAAGATGCATCCCGATACAAAAACCTCAGATAAAATTTGCATTCAAAAATACTGTTTGTAATTTGCGTAAGTGCAAGCAAATCTCATGAACCAAAACCAGATTCATTTGACAACTAAATTCTTAAACCACGACATGGTGGTTTGGGGGTTTTTTGCAGGGAGGGACGTTTTTGCTTGTTTGTTTGTTCTGGTTTTGGGGTTTTTAAAAACTATCGCAGACAGACTCAATCAGTACAACTTGAACTGCCTCTTGATCACTATATGCAGCAGACCTGAGTTGTGAATGTTTTAACATTAGGAAACCCTTAGTGAGGAAATACCTCACACTTGCTAAGTTCTCACTTTGTGACAGTTGCAAGTAACTTGCTGAAAGTGAAAAAGGAGAAAAAAAAAATGGGGAGGGGGAATATATGACTAGATTCTTCATTTTAAGCATTGAATTAAACAAAAAGGAGGAGTTACTCATATTACTTCATATATAACACTACCCTTAAGCTTAGAGCATGCATATACCATTCTAGTTACACACAGAGTTTAAAGTACTTCACAATACATTAAAGAGCAGCAACCCAAAGAAACAGAAATATTTTGTCAAACTCACTGAATAAAAGACATTGTAAAACACTAGTAGTTAGGAGGTTCAAGATTATTGCTACTTTGCATTAGCAGTAAAGACACCTAAGTACATCACATAAACAAAAGCAAATCTGGATACATCAAGTGTACATCATTCATTTCCAGAGTTTAACAGAACCTGACAAGTTTTAACTGTAAGCAGATTAAAGCCTTCACATCTATGAACAAATCAGCTTCTACTGCTTATAATAGTAATAATTCTAAGTCTATAACGAGTCTCAATTTTCAAGTCAGTTACCTGAAAATAGAAGTCTAATATAGCAACCATATCCGTGCCTTCAGGAAAGCACTGAGAAAGAAAAAATAAGGAGTCTTTAGGTAATAAAATTATGATTAGCTTTTTTAAAAACAACACTTTTATGGAGACAAGCTAATCTATATTCTTGTCAGGGTATTAAGCATTATGCAGATTTTAAACTAAATATTTATTTCAATCTAACAGTAGAAATATTAAGTCTCATCAGATTTAAAAATAACACAGTGCAGTGAGGTCAATACGCTAGGTATTAAAATATTTTTAGTACAGCTTTCAACATCTTTAAATCAGACAACTGCAAAATGCATTTAGGAGTTTTATAAAGTCATCTGTACAGAACAGATTATGTATTTTATGGCAAAACAAATTATCTTGATTACAATAGAGAAAAAAGATTATAGGCATTCTATTAGAATGACTTAAGCATCACACTTTCTAAACGACAACATTCTGAATAGCAGTATAAAGCATGTACAGTATTAGATTAATTTATGCTATACTGTACATTAAATAAATTTAAAATCTTCAGAGGCTATGAAAAAGCCCCACCACAGAGTCTTCAGAATACAATAAACAAAAGAGATCAACCTTTTTTTCTTTCAAGTAATAGCCGATAGCAAAATTTCTGTCTCCACTCTCTCTTTCAGACTGGAACCTTAAAATAAAGAAATAAAAAATGAGAGAAGGCAGCACAACAAACTTTCCAAGAAAATTACTGAACTTCAGAGACACGTGATGTAATTCACTAAAATTGCATGTAAAGGGATACCTTGCTGCTGAACACGAACATTCTACTAATGGGACAGACGCTGCCTTAGAAGCTCATCCCAGTACACCCAGTTGGAGCGAATTAGCTTTGACATCTGAATACACACAGTAATGGTTATCTACACATACATAGCTGACTTTGAGATAAAGCAAAGCAGCATAAAATCCTACTCGTGGAAGCATACCCGAAAAGGCCACAGTGAAATGAAACACCCCTCAAGAGCTGAAGAGAAACGGTCACTCACTGACAACACTGACCAAACTAGAGAGGAACCTGAGAACCAAGCTGCAGGTCAGGTAACGATTGACTGGTGGCTGCACAGTTTATCATGATGATTAATTAAGGATGAAACCTGAAGGAGGAATCTGTATTATACAAGCATAGGTAATTCTCTCCTGTCTGCTTTCTTCCCTGGTAAAGATTTTACATTAACAAAGCTCAGGAAAAACACTAGTTGATCTCATTCTGCTCCTCTGCAACCTGGAAGCAATTCTGCTATATGGAATCTTGACGATTTTCCCAGTGCTGCATCAAAATGATCTCAAGAGTTTTGGAATGCTATACATTGAGTTAATGAGGGGAATTGTTTTAGAAAATAATTTAAATGTGCAAAATAGAATTATAGAATGGTTTGGGTTGGAAAGGACCTTAAGATCATCTAGTTCCAAGCATAAAGAGTCCCAGTTGTAAAAAGTACGCTTGCTAAACATTTGATATGCAGCCTTCAACTTGAAGAGTTCAATTTTTAATATGAATGCCAGTAAGGTAAGAGCTGCACTTACAGCTCTCACTGCCAGAGCAGCAACAGAGCACTAAGAGTAATGCAATTTTGAAGAGACAACCAACACTTTTACGTGACATTTAGCCACGCTTACGTCGGAGGCATGCATGACTTTAGTTCTTGTAAATTTTAAGCCAAAGACACCCTCTAATATTAGAGATTAACTGATAGTTTCAATATAAACATCTAACTTTGCTGTAAGCTCAAAAGTTCAACTATCAGTTGAGGCATTTTCCACCCAACTTCATTAAGTAAATAAAAATACTTACGTAGCATTACTGAATCCAACATACTCATTACCAGCCATTTTATTCATGAATTGCATCACCTGTTAGAGAGAGAGGATGGGGGAAAAGCATGCTAACATTTTCAGACCTCAAAGAGTTATAACTGACAAATTTAATCCAGCTTTATCTTAAATGTTGTAACACAAGTTTACAAATGCAGTCCAAATCACTAAACATTTAAACAACCAAATGCAGATAAAGACAAAACACTTGAAATTACTAAAATTTCACTTGCAATCCCTTTGCCATCTTGGAATGTTTACCACTGGATTTAGTTAAGAAAAGAATGTTGTAACATTAACTTACGTAGTCAAATTTTTCTGCATTATTTGCTCCTTGCTGCAAGAAAAGAAAAAATAATTTACAAAAATTGTTAACATAAGAAAGAAGTTAGTGCACTTAACAGTATTAGGATTTTTAATGCATATAACTAAGATATGAGGCTAATTAAGTATAAGGTACTACAAACATTTCATATATTAATGAAAAAATTAAAGTGTTAGATAAGTAAAGCTCTAACTATCATTTAAATTAAAAAATACTATAAAAGTCTTATCAAACTACCTGTATGTTGAAAATGAATTTAAACTGAAAAAGGTATGCTTTATTTTAAGCGTTCTCTATTCAATTTAACGTGCTTAGCATAAGTAAATGTGGTAGCTAAAGCTAAAAATACAAAAGCAACTACAATTAGGATAATTATAATGAAAAGACTAACTGTTTATAGATTAGTAACTCAAAAGTATTCATGTATTACCAACAGAGCTGAGCACAGGAAAAGTTCAGGCTACTGAAGTTAAAGTATTTCCATGGCTAGCACCCATACTAAAAATTTAGATGAAAGACTTAAAATAAAATGTTACCCCTTATTAAAAAATAATTGAATCGAATCAAAAAATATCTGATTTGATTAATATCTGATTAATGTCCTACCTATTAAAAACTAAACAGCTAGAATAATAGAATTTTACGTTATGTAAGGGAAAAAAATAAATCTAAATCTCACTTAAGGATGCTAGTGAAACTGAGGGTTGGTTGGTTTACTTTTCTCAGGGAGATGAGGGGTGTTATTTTAGGGCTTCCCCCAGTTTAAGGACATTCTCTAATTTAATAGGTACTAGTTAAAGACTGTATTAATTCTTTATAGGTCTCTGATAGGTGACCTTTCAAATATTTCTGTAGCAAGATGGTTCAAGAGGGGTGGGAGGTAAAAAACAGCACCTGGTCTGCCTGGGGGTCTTTTTCATTTTTGAAGTAGCCAACTAGAATTTTTTAAGGAAGTTTAAAAAACAATGGCACCACATCCACCAGTGGAAATAATGTATCTGGAGAAGATGCTCTTATAAGTAATTTTAGCATTGAGGATAGTCTATTTAGATAACATAATTCTGTTTCACACATCTCAAACAATTCAAGACATTACTTGCACTGTGTTTGGTATGGGAATGGGGAAGGAAGTGGAAAAAAACTGAAGCTTTGTATGAACCAGTATTTTACTTAATGAAACGCATAAAGCCAGTCTCATTTCCCACTCTGTATGTGGATTATGGTGTTGCAGATAATCTCTGAAGCCCATGCACCAGCTCAGCTACAAGAGAATGTGCAGTCACACACGTACGATCACTAGCTGAAAGGAACACCACACTGTTTGGTCAGAATTATGCGCCAGTGGTTACCTTATGCTTAAAGGCTAATAAACTTGCTCTTAAAGGCAATACTCTCTAGCTAATTTACAGTAAGATTTAAAAAATCATGATACATTTCATCAAAATGTTCCTGTATAATATACCAGAACACAAGTCTTAAAAAATTATCTCCAAATCTGTTCAATGAAAAATAATTAAAAGAAGAAATTACCAACTTCATTGAACTGTTGCAGTTGTCAAAATATTCCATAGATCCTAATGCTGTAAAATATGTAACAACATTTAAACCACAAAAACCTTTTCAACCTTTCAAATGCACAATGAACATCTTTTTCTGGGAAAGTGGGTCAGCATTAGTCGTGGGATGCTGCATTGATAACTGTATGGTTAGACACGTATAATAAATTGAAACAAGTTCTTTTTGTTAAAAAAAGAAAGAGGGAGAAAGGGATCATGCTTTCTGCAAAAATATAAATACATAATACTTCACTTCTTTGTGTAGTTGAAAAAATTCCTATCCCTTTAACTAAAACCTGGCTTTCCCAGCAGCATATAAAACTGGTGGGCAAAAGACTCAGTGCAAACTTTTTCCACATCAATTTGTTATAAAAAAAAGTTTTCCTTTTAAAATTTACATCTCATCTTGTATTTTGGGAAGGAAATCTTCTGTACGCTAACTTGGATGATGCGTTTTTAGTCTGACATCCCATACATTTGTATAGATACTTTGTATCAAGCACAAAAGCATCATTACCAACATTAAACTGCCCGTATACCTAAGGGATTCGCCTAAGCAATGACATGACCAAGACCTCAGTAGGGATTTAACATTAACACAGAACTAAAGCAGAAAACTTTGCTTCCATATACATGACAACTAAAAAGCCCAACATACTAGCTTCCCTCTTTCAGCAGCTGACAGAGGTATGCTGCTCCTCCTAAAAAGCTGAAGAGACATAGAGGCAACACACATTCTATGATTAAAATTCAATTGCAAGTGTAAAAACCTAAGATTCAGATTACAGAGCAACATTTCCATAATAACTTAGAGACAAGAAAACCTCTGTTCTTGCACAAGTGCTTCTGGTTTTTTTAGCTTGATTCTATAAGGTTGGGGGCACTGTGAAAACATTTCTCAAAAAGCATTTTATTTAAGTTCAGATGCAATTCATCTGTCTAGAACATCAAAGGAAACATTCCATGCACTAACTCCACAAACACTTAGTACACTTACTGGAACATATGTTCATATACACACTTGTGTACACATGCTCGTGTGTATATGCATATGGAAGAAATTTCTAAATGAATACAAAATGAAATTTAAAATGTTAAGATTGAAGCAGTTTGATAGGCAGAAAATTCAAACTTGCAGAAGACAGCTCAATACAATTTTGGAAATACTTCAAACCACAATGGACACTACAGCTGTCAATCATAAATTTGAATTTTTTGACTGTGTCAGGTTCTAGTGATCTTCTCTTTTTCTATTTTAAACAAGGTAATTTCATAGTTTGTATTTCTACTAGAAAAATATAAGCAGTTGCATAGGTTGCATGCCTACATGTACATAGGAAAGAAGAGACCCATGGATACTCACCAGAGCTTGCAACAACAAAATTAGGCAATATTTATTAGAAAAGTAGTTAATATTAGCCATTTCTCATTGATTAACATTCAGTGTTTACATAATTAGACCATATAAGCTCTTACCATGTGTCTCTTGTTAAAATAATTTTTCAATTTTGAATCTAAACCAAGCTAATAAAAACATCTGGATCGCGGGAAGTTTATAATCTTCTAATAATATAAGATTATTTAAAAATTAATTTCTAGGGGTTTTTTTTAAGCCAAATTTATAACCTATCACTGCATGAAAACATCCAGGGGGAAAAAAAAAAATAATCTTAGTACTATGTCAAGAATGCAAGAAAACATTTCTTTTTTACACTTGTGCATTTTACATTAACTTAACTAATAAGGTGTTTAGTTTTCTGTACTTACATAGGTTTTTAATTTTATGTGTTAATCTGGGCCTGTTCTGTGAGAACTGGTGTCTTGACTGCTTAGCGTGCCATTGCAGCTCTGAAATACTTGAGAGCACACTGTCACCGACAGCATTTGACCCACTAAGACCAATACTGTTGCTGTTTCAAATACATGTAAAAATTATTTGTGTCCTTCAGGTATTAAAATATTTGCCTCTGCGACCACTGAACACATGGCATTTTAAACATCACTACTACATATTCTATGTCAAATAAAGTCCAATACACTGAAGTTATAATAAAAAGCAAGTGCAGAATAACGTGAAGGTATGTTCTATTCAAAATTAGTTACTACAAGAAAATTAATAACTCGGGAATAGAGGAAACTTCACCAAAATAAAGACAAGTATCTGGCAGAGAAGATCACAACACCAACACATGCTTTAAGGTGGTATATATGTACATTTACATGTCAGTCTACCAGGAAGGATAACTGGAATGGGTAGCATTGAGCAATTAAGCTAAATCTGTACTATTTATTGTAACTATATTGTCAAATAAACCCAATAAATCATGCATTTTTCTCACTCCTCAATTATTAGACCATAACTGTATAGGTTTCCCAGTAACTGTATCCTGACAACAAGCAGATCCTTGGCACAGCTGGAGAGCTTTTTCCACCATGCTTTGCCTCATTTAATTTATGACTTATCAGCATATATAGAAAGCTCTTAAATATATCATAGAATCAACCAGGTTGGGAAAGACCTTTAAGATCATGAAGTCCAACCATTCTATCAGATACACCTCGCATGTTTTATACAAAAAAAGCACCCCCCAAAAAAAACCCAAAACAAAAAAAAACCAAAACCAGCAACAAAAAGCTTTCATTTAATTAAGTTTTTTCAGGGTCAGTAAGATCAGCATTTTCATTTTCTTGTACAACACCTTTTCTGCAAGGACTACGATTACTGCTATGCCACCCCAACATGCCTGAATGCTTCCCACATTAATTCGCCACCATAGAATGCCTCTCCCTTCACCAAGCATTCTAGTCTATCACAGTCCGTGTAAGACTCTGCATGTGGTTGTCAGCACTTGGAGGATTTATAAACACTGTATTTGCCCAAACCTTTGCTGTTTTACTAGGAAAATTTTTTATCTACAGATGGAATCTTGAATCTCTGGTGATTCCTTCCACAGCCATCTGCTGCCTTCTACATATTTCACTCTGAACCCTTCCTCTTCACCCCATTTGCATCTCTAATGCACTACACTCCCCAGTCAGGAAAGATACATGTAAGTAGGAAATTGCTGACACAAACACTGGTATGTCTGGAGTTAACAGGCTTTGAGAACCGAGTCTGAAGTTTAAGAACAAAACAACAGCTCAAAGCACTCAAAATCTACCCACACTACAGGCAATGAAGACTCTTCCTAGTCAATGTGACATACAGAAAGCTGAGTGGTTAGAGAGAACTGAATCTATACTAAAACTGAATCTTCTTATTTCAAGCACCTGTACTTCCCTGGAGACATGGAAGAATTTACTATTTTATCAAATATCACTTTTCCCACAAATTTCTGTAATTGCCACTACAATTTTCTTTTTGGCAAGAGTTATTTGAAAGTTTTAACTATGTAATTTATGTAAGTAGTAATAAGGGCAAATGGCTGTACAATTACAAACAAGGGAAAAGGTCCTTAGGGGTTCTGAAAATTTTATTTCATTAAGACTGGCCTACAGGAGGTCCTTTTGTTAAAGCATTTATATTGTAGATACATGCTTTAATTTGCTGGAACAGTCTGTGGAGTGCAATGCAGTACAGCTAGAACAGAGCCATGAGTTGAAGCATCAAAACATAAATATATTGTAGTTCCAAACACATGACAGCAAGAGAATCATGAAGCTGGTAGAAGTATGATATAGTCACGCCTAAGTAAGCCAAACAAATGTTGTACTAAACATGCACACACACTTTCTTATGAATAGCAAAGAGTAAATGTAATGTTACAGTTTAGGTCTATGCTCTGTTCTGAGGTGTGTATGCCAAATTCTTAAAGTCGGAACTGGGGATATGATGCTAAGAACCCCTTTCCCCCCCTAAAATGTTAATATAATACATATCCAGGCAAAAACCATCATCTCTTACCCACAAGTAATTGTAATTTGTGTCAGATATTAAGGGCAGTTGTGTGCAAGAGCATGCATACTAACAGCTGCTAAATTCAGAGCAATGTATGTAAATTTTGGAAGTCTTCTTGAATCAATTTCTCAGAAAGGTAAAATAATGAATATCAAAGGAGGTAAAAGTATTCTTAACACTGAAATACAGCAACAATCTCTCCGTAGCTATCAACATGTTATCATTAGATAAATGTCATACATGGTAAATTCAACCATGCTTAAGAATCTCTTAATTTTCTTGGACTCTAAGTGCCATACAGAGTCTTCAAGATACGCAAGTAACACCTTAATACACAGAACGAACAGGAACTGAGGGCAAAACACGGGTTAACGAAGCCAGCTTTTCCAGAAAATGAAGACATAGATTAGATTAAATATAGATGCAAATTACTTAAATCACTGAATAGTTAGTAGAAATTTTGTTAAATTGGAGATTGAGAAGAAGCTATTTCACAATAAATACAACTATTAAGTAACTTTGCACCTGTGACCCTCTGTGTAATTTTCCTGAGAATATGTTTAGTTTGGTTAGTTATTCAAATGATAAATGGTATCTTAGTGTAAGCAGTACATAATATAATCTACATTTTAATCACCCTGGAAACAAATCATGGAGTGTGATAAGATATGCGTCCATTAGACGTGCAGTTACCACATGCAAAAAATGTTAGTGCAACGCAACACTCTTCATTAGAACATTACAGAAAAAAAAAGAAATTAAAAAAACACTCAGCAAAAACAATCCCCCAACCTTCTAACAAATACCACAATTGCATGCAGTAAACAAATCCATGTTATCTACTCAGAAGTACACCATTTATCAAGAACTGTGTGCCTTCTGCAAGAGGCACATGCTTGTGTCTTGCCTTCTGACCAGTAGGGCATGTTGTAGGAGGACTAACATTTCAGACAAATGTGTTCAGTCAGATTTTTAAAATTCACTATTATCCAAAGTGAATTTCAATGCTCAGTCAACCTTTAAAAAAGATATTAAACGTGAATAAATTTACCTGTCATACTTAAGGCCATTTTCTTTCACCTACAGCTATTAAAGATAAATGTCTTTAAGCAGGAGTTCTTACACCTTCTTCAAATATAAAATAACAGAAAAATCATGATCTAAGTAATTTTTAAATCAACAATTTGGAAAGAGGAAGTAGGAAACACACTGATGGACCTTGAAACATAAAAAGAAAAACAAGATTTTTAGACCTCTGAAGTAACAGTATTAAGTTTTCTACTTCAAAACTCCAGGGGACTGACACGTTCCCTACAATTCTATGCAGGTACCCTTAGGGGGGGAAAAAAAAAAATAAAATAGTATTTTTATTGTGGCTACCAAAAAAAAAAAAAAGGTAGAAAATACAAATAAAGTATCTGGCAAATATTAGCATTACATGGAATTTGTGCCACTTACAACTTCAAGAGACATATACAGCTATTCTAAGGAAAAATCAAATACAGTTTTCTAAACATCTCAAGATCACGGACTAAAAATGTTGTCATTATTCAGCTATTCTTTACCCAGTAAAATACAGATAATTGCTTCCAAATACACTTATTATTTACATTTAACATCCCAACAGAAACTATGTAGCATCAAAGTTAAACATGATTTAGTTGTAGAGTATGTTAATAGCAGACAAACTCAGTATTAAAACTGACATATAGCTTCATTGCTCCTGTACAGATTACAGTCTCTTGCATTTCTTTTGCACAGCAAGAAATATTCTTGTAACTAAATAAGAGCATTAGACATTCAGAAACATGTTTCTGAGTGCTACAGAGTATACTACTGAGGATATATTCTTAGCATTTAACAAGTATGAGACAATTCTCTCAAGAGAGTATCAAGTACTGTGCAGTTAAAGAAGGAAACAAAACTAAAAACTCTAAGGAAAAAAAGAGTCTTTCAGCTGCACTGTTACTTTCGAAAAACTACTAATCTAATACTGCATTTGTTTGGAAGTGTTACTGTTTCCAAAACATCAAAGCTCATCTACCTGCTCATGAGTAAACTGCCATCCAATAATGCACACATAAAATGACAACAGTTCATTATCTGCACAAGATACTTGTTCTACTTTGCATTAAAATACTCTGAGAGAAACTAAAAATTAAGTTTTTACCTTGATTAAAGATGTGATCACAATTGCTCCAGCATTCACCATAGGGTTATGAGGCCTGTCTGTGAAATCAAGTTTTCAATTATGAATACATGCCAAGACACATTTGTCAAACAAAACTAGAAAAGTGATTAACGGAAAAATGACAAGTATTAATTAGTGTTTAAGAGAAAAATTACAAATATTAAGGTAAAAACTAGTATTAATATATGACTTAAAGTTATGATTATGGAGTATCATCCTAAATAAAAAAATATTAGTCCAACATTATACAGAAGGTCTTGTAATTGTGAGCAAAGTATTTTTACACATAAGAGCACAGCCTTACACTGATGAACAGCCCAGTAAATTTATCTGTTTGGTGTCATTTCTTTTCTTGAACATTCTGAATCCTCTCTGAGTGTTTGAAGATTTGATCAATGCCACACATCCAAGTGGAACAACCCCTAAAAGACTCTCCCATTTTTCCTGCAAGTTACCAAGCCTCAGCTGTTTTAAGTGTCCAGACAGGTCTTTAAACAAAAAGAATTCCAGTTTTTTAATTTCTTTATTGCTGTACATGAATACAAAGTCCTGTTTCTTCTAAAAATCAAGAGGTTCCTATTAGCAGCTCCTGAAATACAACTAACAATTTACTCATCCTCACGAGAACTTACTTTATAATTGACTTGCATGTACCTGCTACACTGAAGTTTCTTACCACTAACCTCCACAGTAACAGTATTTTTGCATTCCCAGACATTCTAGCCTGCTCACATGAATTAATCTTTTCCAAAAGAATTTTTCCTTATCAGCCGTTTTCCTTTTCCCAAATACTTTCATTCATCAACATCTACCTCCTAGTTATCTTCTTTTGTTGCTGTTTTAACTAACACGTTTGCTGTACATTTTAATTAGGATGTTGATTCTTGAGAGTCCTGGTGTCTGAAAACCTCAACCAATTCTCAATACATTAATATTGTGACAAGTCTGAATTATTCCTTTTATTTTCTATTACTTTATCTCCAAAATAGTCATTCTAAAAACACACAAAAAAGTTTTCACTATTTTTCTATATAATATACACACAAACACTAAAAAGAACTTGAGAGGATTGCTTTTTGGAGATGAGTCTGACATTCACAGTATATACACAGACACGTATTTTCCCCATGAAAATTCCACTGGCTGTGGTCAACAGCACTTAGCCAGATATGACTATGAGATAATCTCAAAAAACTAATCATCTCAAGTTCCTTTTAGTATTTTTCAGAAAGTCAGTATTAAAGGAACTTTTATAAAAAATATCAAGTTATTCTACTAGTGAAAAGCTAAGACCAATACCTTGGGGCAAATATATTTGACTTTTGATTAAAACCAGATTTTGAGTAGGAAAAAAACATAGCATTCCTATTAGCCTCCTAACTCTCTCTCTCCTTAGGAACCATATACCTGAACACCAGTCAAAGGCATTTCAAGTCAAATGACAAATCCCAGCATTGCAGACTGCTGGCCAGACAGAACATCTGGAGGTCATCTCCTCCACCCTCCTACTTAAAGCTAGGCTATTGCCAAGGTTACATCAGGTCAGTCATGCCTTTATCTGAGTCTTGAAAACCACCAAACTGGCAAATCCCCTAACTCTAGAGCAATCCTGTTCCTTGTAGATGGCAAGTTTCTCCCAACATCCAGCCTACGCGCCCCAAGCTGCAGTGGGCAGGCCACTGGCCCTTGTTATACCATCTGCACCTATCAAGAAGAGTTACACAAATCTTCATCTTTGCAACTGCTCTTCAAGAGGTTTAAGTGGCTCCCAGGGGAGTCCCTAACCTCCCCTTTTCAACCGCTCCTTGGGAGTTATGTGCCCAGAACTGCACAGCACTTCAGCATTCCTTCACTGGAATGGCAAGAAACTTTGGATGAAATTAGACATGGGCTTTTCTGAATGTGCTGCTGAAATGAAGTTATATTTTGTTCCCCCCCTTGATAAGTCACCATGGAAAAATCATTGTGGGAGCCTTCACAGCTATGGGGAGATAGAGCACTCTGACTTAATGCACACTAACAAAAGCTCTTCTCTGAGGGTCTCCTACTGCTGCACATCACAGATTTGAGTAGGACACCCTCCATTAATTCACTGCTGCCTCTTCTAAGCAGAATAAACTGTCAGGCTACCCAAGACTCAGGAAAGCAATTTTCACTATTATCCCTAGACAGTGAAAGCACCAGATAATACTACTATCCAACATCTCCCCTACAAAGATATCTGTAATTGACAGACAATCCTTCTATCTTGCCACAATAGCTACAGGCATACTAGAGAGGTGGTTGATGCCCCAAGCCTGTCAGCATTTAAAAGGCATTTTAAATGCTTTAATAACATGCTTTAACTTTTGGCCAGCCCAGAAGCAGTCAGGCAGTTGGACTAGCTGATTGTTGTAGGTCACTCCCAACAGAAATATTCTATCCTACAACAAAGAAACTTGCCAAAGACTTACTATACACTGGCCTTTTTTAAGGGTCAGGATGCCTAAATAAAATCTTCTGAAAGATTCCTGCTTATTTCAAAGAAGAGCTGTCTTCCACTCCCATCAATAATACTTCCATTCCCAGGTATTTTTTCACCTCTTAGGGATGTATAGGTTCTGACGCTACATTAATTTTTAAGGAAAGTCATATATAGGTCTCTTTCTAAAGCAGCAGCAACTACTGATTTACTGCACAGTGGGTGCCATCAGCAAAGGGATATCACATTGTACAATAACAAGGAATGAAGGTTGATACCATAATTGCACCGAAAAGGTGAACAATCGCATCTATTGTTAGAGATATCAAACTCTGCAAAGCCAACTAACATCACTAAACATGCACTATATATAATCAAGTAACGACGACGATATACTCAGACTGAAAAAAAATTCTTTTATGAGACTTGCAGAGAAGTTGCATATTACTGTATCATTACACTCTGGGGTAAATTCATGTTTTTAGCCTTAATGAAAAGCACAAGTTTTAATAACCCTTCACCTTTATCTGCGGTGCCCTGATTAAGTCTACCACTCATTCAACAATTTTCCTCTTGCATAAACCACCCACCTAACAGCCTCTGAATAATAAATATGTTCTTCACCAATACAGGACTGTCTTCCCTGTGGGAAGGAGATACTTGTCTGGAACAGCCCTTTACCTAGACAGCTGCAACATATTTAACAGGTACATCTAAATTCAAAATAAAAGTAAATATAATTTATTTAGTTACCTGAAAATCTCCCCACTGAACATCACTACTGAAATGGCTAAAAATATGTCATTTTTAATATCTCAAACCTGTTTGACAGTTCGCATGACTGCTCTAGCAACCTGCCATGCAATTACGCCATAGGCAAACCAAACCTTTCCCCTAATAAGCTCAAGTTACAGTGCTTTGCCTCTGCCAGTTCTTCTGACCTTTTTTGCCCATCATTTGCCTTAGGCCTTTCTGGTACGACTGGCTCATAGTCTTTGAGCACAGCAAGCAGAGGTTGCCACACATCCACAATACAGACATTTTTAACACCCATCATGGCAAGTTCTTCCTGAAATAACATCAAAATGTGTTTGTCCAATATAAAAACTTAAAGAATGACATCTTTAGTTAACAAAATCGTTCAGCAGAATAAACAATTTCCTGGCAATCCCTCATTTAATTACAGTGCAACATTTATTACTGGACTAAGTTCCACAAAATTGTATTACAGGACTAATTTTGCAGATTATCATAAAGAGAAGGTCATGCGTATGGATAAGAGATACTAACTGTACATGTACACAGGTATTGTCAGACATGTTGCATCATAAACTCAATAGGCATGAAAGCACCTGCAAACTGCTCCATGGTCATTACCAAGAAAATTATTCCTGATGATACCTACTTCAGACACATTTTACTATGTAAAATTCTTGAGCTATTTCAATCAACTATAATAATCAGTTTTTAATTAAAATGGGAATAGCTGTAATCCTCCAGAACTCTGAATTGTTTGATGGGCTGTGTGTTCCTTCTGATTAAAAATGTTCTAAAATTCAATATTCATAAGGCTGCAGAAATTCACAGATTTCCATTGTACAGCACAGATTTTATTCAAAACTTACAACAAAACAGTGTTACTAAGACTCGCTAAGTTGGCATTTTTAGCTATGATTTAAAATTGCCTTGTAATAGTCTCCGTACTTTCCAGCTTGAATCTCAATACTAGTAAACAAAGAAATGGAAGAACATCCTATTTTAGCAGTCTTTAATGCAGTAAGTATAAAAAATAGCTAACCAGTTTTCAAATACCTATATATCACTTCATAAAATCCTGATTACAAAAATGAAATTCAACTATATCAGAAACAGAAAGCAGATTAAATGTCTTTATTTTCAAATCTGATCTTCAAAGTAGTTATGTATGTTCAAACTGCCAAATACTCGACATATCCAAACTTCACACGTCAATTTAAATCTTCCTATATTAACTTAATCATAATCCCTTCTTCCCTCCTCTTCCTTCACTCACATAAACTCAACTTCCCTTTCTCTCCCTATAACTGAAATGTTCCTATTTATTAGACTCCTACCTTCTGCTTTAAATACTCTGTTTAAGGACTTTCCAGGTTATATTCTAACGCATTTTTCTCACGTCAATTGTATCAGCCACACAAGAACACACTTAAAAATTACAACTTTTACCACGTGAAATAGTCTTCTCTACCAATTTCATGCACACTGGTCAAACTTTCAATAATCCCAGTTCTCTTATTGCATAAGTCTTATAAACACTCTTTAAGTCTACCCGTAATATAAAATAGCCCAGTCTAACAATTCACCTTCTCATAGTTTAATTTTAAAAGTACCAATAAAACAATTATTATACTGTCTCTAATTCCATTAAAAATAAAATAAAGCTTAAAAAAGGGAAAAAAACCCAAAAAATAAAACCCAAAACACACAAACCACAAAACAAAAGAACATCTATATTAATCCAAAGAAAAAATGAGCAATTCTCAGCACCAAAGCTGTTTTGTTTTTTTTTTAATGAAAGCTTTCTTAGGACACTTCACACTGTATGACACTGTATGTGGAAAAACTGGAAAAGCAAAAACAAGACAGCAGAGCTTGACAAAATGCTTAATTCCCTCTTGGCAATATATATGCATGTTGGTATTTCACTACCACTTACTACCATAATAAAAACGAAGGAAAAATTTGTCATGATCTATTTTGTGTTTAAGTTTGGAAAGATGATTGTAAAGTATGTACTAAATATAATTAGGTACCATTAATATTTTAATAATATAGATATTTAAGTCAGAATTCAATAGAGTCCTTGATAAAAATATCATCCAAGCCCCAGCTGTTAATTAAATATTAATTTCAATACCATGGCAACAGAAACATTGTCTGTTCTCTTACCGAGAAAGATCCGCTAGAAGAAACATTTGTGTTTCAGAGATAACACCCAGTATTTCCTCTAAGGCTACGTGACTCACCCAACTCAGGTTTTTGCCTCAATGCTTTTAAAAATAACATTTTCATGCTTGAGAATTAGTAGAACATGAAAAAGAAGGTAAGAAGGTAAGTACTGTATGAGAAATTCATGCTAAAGCACTCTTGCCACAGGAAAAAAACCCAAAACACTGCTTTGAATCAGTAGCCAAATTCAGTTTAGAATAATCTGCGGGAAGATGCGTTCAGCTTTGCCTTCTGGAAACTACCCAGTGCTGGCCTTTGGCACCAGCACCTGCTTCTCAGAGGGTTGAGAAAGGAAGAAACATGCATGTTTCTTAAAATCAGTTTAAGATCTTAGATTCTTTCACCATCATTTTTACAGAAGACATGATTAAGGAACATGTGCTATCAACACATCTAAATAAATATACATTTCAAATACTTGCATTATCAAAATCCACTGGTTTTTCCTACAGCTGGATAACTAGCAAATAGAACAGAAGTAACAAAGCATCTTTTAGTAGCATTCTAAATTAGGCTGAAGTGAGTGACAAAGGATAAGCCTACCTTGCTGATGGCAAAATATTTTGGGACATTGTCTAATAGTAAGGCTTAAGAGGATATGGTGAAATGAACAGACTGGAAAAAAAAGAACACCTGCATAGCTCGAGTCATGATTTTCTAAAATGATTTGCATTATTAGGTATTACATATCTCTTACCATCTTCATTCAGGAACAATTTGTTGAATCTTAATCCACTAGGCTCTTTACCAACATATCTGTGCACATACTCTGTGCCAAGATCATTAACAGCAATAGCATATTTCAAAGGCTTTACACAGGACTGGAGACAGAATGGAACTTTGGTATCGCCAACAGAATGCCTGGGAAAAACAAAATGAAGAGATTTGGAATTTCTTGTTTGCCAGCTGTGGCAAGCAGAGTGGTAAATGCTTCATCTGTTCTTTAAGACTAGGACTCTTAACAAAAACACCCCCAAAACCAAATGCATATTACTACTAGGTCTCATTTTAAACAACATGTCAAAAAGCTTTAAAGGTTTCAACAATTGCCTCCATAAGCTAAGCATAACAAAGTCAGGTGCTGGTGATTACTGCAAATATAACAAACTAAAACAATGTTCAGAAATGGGTCTGTACCAGAGAAAATAAAATCACCTCAGACCTCTAGTACCACACTTACCCTACTCAATTGCAAACCATAGCCGACACGAATATAGCCCCCATACAAACTCATGTTTATATAAGCAAAGATGAGATTCAATATAGTTTTAGAACTTGAGGGCAATAATTAAATAGCTGTATTTACATTCCCTTTGATAATGGCATAGGTATTTTATAGCAATTATTAAATGCTATCTTTTGGACAGTTTACTTTCAGCATCTAAGACTGCATCAAAGAATGACTCATACAAGCAGCATATGCCCAATCTAGAGCAAAAGGCTCCAAGCAACCACTTGTCTGGTGCCAAAAATCCATAGCATACTTGCTTCTTTTCTTTGCAGACAAGGTTTCAGAGTAACTCGCACAACCATTTTGTCATTATAAAAACTAACATTACACACCATTAAACATTATAAAAGCTAACATGATAAAAACTTTCATTAGTACATGTTATATCTGAAACAAAGCAAAGCATCAATTTAAAATTTTTAAAAGGGAGAATAATTTTGCTTTTAAAGCTGTTTTACCATTAATAGATGGTAATTCAGACACTTGAGCAGGGAGCTGAAAAAGACTTCAGCTCATTTGTACAGCTCTTCCCCTACAGATTATTAGCCATATGTTCTATAAGAAACAAACATACAGAACATAAAAGAGAACATTAAAATGAACACCAATCCACAATCACCATAAGAAAGCCTGATGCTCTTTTCAGGAATGCCCCATACATCTAGGACATATTAAACACCTAAAAATTATGTCACTCAGAATATACAGTATGACTATCAAGCTGCAGGCCAGCAGAGACGTGCGAGTTGATGAGTATCTGGCCCTGTCTAGGCACAGAGGCAGGCATGGAATAGTCCACCTTACTTCTCAGCTAGATGGTGTGAGATAGCCCTTTACACCCAGCTCATAACTGACTCTGCTACACTGAGTCACAAATAAAGGAAAAATAAAATTAAGATCACTCTAGCTACATCCAAGACCTACATATACCCTTACAGGACAAAGTTTCATGAAACTGAAAAGAAAAATCATGTTAAATTCTGTACAGTTTCCATCTTTGTTTTCTCTTCAAAAAACATGGATCTGATTTTTTTTTGTGACATACAGCAATCATATGAAAATGGTACAGTAAGAACATTGAGATGCAGAAAAAGTACTTTCAAGTACATCGTGACCTACAGAAAAAGTAACAGAGCTTGAAGCTTGCATCACCAAAGATTAATACTACATAAGCATTGTCTCTATCCTGTCCTTTGATAATGATCAAAATTACATACAGCTTCACTGCTGTTTGGATCATATGCATAACATAACCCAGTTCTAAATACAGTACTTACAAATACTATTTAAACAATATTTTATAATGGCAAAATAATTCAGCTTAAATAGAAAAGTTGAAAAAGTTAAGAAAGATGACCAAGTGGATTTTACTTCCCAACTCCAATAAAGCTTTTTCTTTATTAAGCTGTGAGATACCATGAAGTGCTGTATGTGTCAAATAGTTCAAATAATTGAAATAACAAAATCTAAAAGTTAGAATATACCTCTGTCCATCCACTGTGCAAAGTGACACACCCCACAAATCAGGGCTGAACTTGGCCAGTTGTGGAATATAGTCAGCAACCTATCACAATGTGAATAAATAGAGAGAGAGACATTACAACATCCAAAATATTTATGTATATGTTAATAGACATTAATTAGAATAAACGTCAATGGTACACGAGGTACCAACTGCATTATTCCACTAATAACCACCTTGTGTACCTAAAATTTCATTACAAATTATTATATTCATAATATATTATGTTCTTATATAGATCATTATAAAACCATTTTTTCAAAGTGCAAACTTCAGCACATTCCAAGAGGACTCTCTCCTCTCTGTTACAGCATATTCAACCTTTCAAATCATAAAAATTTTAGCTTGTAACAAAGTTTGGGGGTATTCAATTAATTTATTAGAAACAACCACTAGAATAAATTTTAACTATTAACATAGGTATGGTGTTGACAATTATTTGACACACAACCCAGCTAGTTGTGTAGGGTAGCATAATTTTTTATATGCTGTTTAATCTGACAAATTGTACAGCAGTTTTATAGTTCATGTAAAAGAACAAACACCACTCTTTTCTCATTCTAATCTCAAAACTGTAAAGATTGTTAGAGGTAAGAGGCTATATTTCTAACACAGTTTAGAAGTTGCAGACATACCTGAACTTCCAACACTATATAATCAAGTTATCAGTTTAACATTTTTGCTAAAATATTAAAAAAAATCTGTCCACTTAAAGAATGTATTTGGTTAATATCAAGAAATCTATAGAAGTTTGAAGTTGAATTTACAACAAGGTTACCTTTCCTCCAGATTGCTTTTTAGCACTTTCATAGAGCTCATCAATATGTGAAGTAAACGACATAAAATCTGGAATGACAAACTTCCTCCTGAAAGCTTGAGTAAGCAACACAATATTACTTTGTACACACCTGCAAGAAGTTAAAAGAAGTTTATTAGTATTTTTGACATAGTACTGCCAAAAAGCCTACTTAAGTAGCAACTATATGCTATTTCAATAAGGACCATCAGTCCCTTGGAGTTATATGCTTACAAGAACAAGCCTTTTCCACTACATAAGTTTGTTTTTAAATTATTTACAAATGTGTCATTGCATTCATTCTTATACCTTTTTACTTAAAGCTCTTATCTGAAGTTTCAAATGTGAGGCTGTACATCTAGATACTATCGATTTACCTTTGAGTAGCACCTAAGCTTGAAAAAGGGATCTAAACAACCCCTTTCTTAGGATCAAGATATGTGAAGGTCGTCTATCCTAGCCCTTTCCCATGTAAGTGCCAATTTCAGAGTTAAGTCAAACTTCCAAGGTTCAGGGTTGGTCTGTCTCACTTCCAACTAGCTTCACTATGAATGGAGTGAGAACCCTGCCGACAAACCAAATTGGAACCAGGTTCCACTCTAATAAGAGCAAAACCTGTGGAATTACTCAATAACATCTTCTAAACTAAGCAAAAGTTAACAGTGAACAGTACTGCAAGTCTCTTACTTCAAAGTACCACCAGTTAAGACACCTTTGCTGCCTTTTAGCCCAGAACACAGTTACATTATCATCTACACCCTCTAAACATCAGCCGATCTGGCACATTTAAAAAACTGATGAAGTAGAAAGGAAAGGACTTATCAAGAAGAAACAGAAGAAAGGAAGGATAGTAACACAAGCTGAGGATTGCTGCTGGAAGTGGTGTGCCTGTGGGGGGGGCTGCGCAGGAGCAGACATGGGAATTGGAAGCCATTATCACGTCAGTTGAAATATGACCTGTTAAAGGGTATTAACAGCCCCATCCCAGTGCAAGGAAAAGAAAGGGAGATTTAACACCTAATACTTTCATTAGCACATCCATACTCTGCTTTCTGGCAGCATTGACAAAAGCAGAAACAAACTGTTAATACAGACAAATGGAAAGTTAAGAATGTGTAAGCCTTCCAGTGAAGTAACACACTAATTTTTAGGGAAATATTTCCACTTGGAATAAATACTTACAATAATCCTAATACTAAAAGTCATTATCAGTTCAAAATTAAGAAGCATGAAGACCAATGAACAGACAGAATGATCTTCCCTTTGAATCCCCCTCTCATTTTTTAAACCTTTGGTCTGAACTCCTTTGAACTTGGAGAGACATTATCCCAAATTCAACTGACAGCAATTTCAAATGCTGGCAGGCACTACTTCCCAAGAGTGAAAGAGAAACAATAGAGAACTTTCCATTTCTATTGACATCTTAAGAATTGCTCTGTCTGTATTACAGAGTTAGTCTGTGTTAATATTGCAGTTGAGCTGGTTTTGTTGCAATTTATGTTATCCACTCCTTTTTTATGTCTCTTGCAAAAAATCCTGTTAGTTTTTGTTCCCAGCAGCCTCCAATCAGTTACACCAGGTAAAACAACCCTTTTTCACAGGTAATTAGTAACAGTTACGGCAGCTAGGTGTGCAGAAGGAGTAACAACATAACACGCCTTATGTTTATAATTCATTTTCAGTCCTATATTGCCTGCACTACCTGGACAGCAGTAAGCACTCTTCTTGGTTCACCTAAGCCTATTAGAACAACTCAATAAAAAGTGTGGAAAAGAACAAGAACGCAGTATGCACTGAAATACAACCCTCTGAAACCACATTACACTCTTGAAACAGGAAGGGCATTTATACACTTACCAACTTACACCAACTCTGGAATGCTCACTTCCTAGAGACTGAAAATCACTGCAGAAACTGCTATGCTGGCAAAGGACATTGCCCGTTTCTGCAAGTAGCTGTTGTTTCCAGACTTCTGCCAAGGTCAGTGCCTGGGTATTTATCCTTAACCCAGGCAAATGATATGAATTCACAGACTAAACTAAATACAGGAGTTTAACTAATCTAGATGGGTATTCGGAACGATAACTGCATAGACAAAATAACAGAGGTCCTAGAAAGCTCCAATTAAAGGGGCAGTAATACTTTCAGTCAATAGGACACTAGCCTTGACAGCCTCTAATATTCTGAAACTGACATATCCTCCCCACCAGAGTTTCCAATTATTTTATGTTCCAGGTAACCCTTCAGAGATGAATGGTCTCAGGCTCAGAAGTGGAGCAGTAGGAAAAGATCAGGGAGGAATTTAAATAAATGTCTATATTGATAAATAAAAATATTTCTACAATCAAATTTGATGAACAGCTTGGCCTTATCTCCCACATACTTTAGTGGTGCTTAATGCAGGTACACTAAAAATCTTCCAACCTCAAATTCCTCCATTTCTCCTAACTTTATAACCTCACCCTAAAAAAAAAACAAAAACAACTGTGTCTTGTCAAATCCCAACCCAAGCATTTCTTTCTCTATTTGAAAACAGGTCTTTCAAACTACAAAACTTCCCCAGTACATTCACGTTATGAAGATTAGGCTGCAAGTCTTATGATCTATAGTAACTTTCCGTGACTTGTACAACCTGAAAGTAAGTTTGGCATTTGGTTGGGTTGTTTTATGTTTGGGCTTTTTTGAAACTGAATCTTTGGACTTTAGCATAAAGTTAGAATCATTTTGTTTCCTTTATCATACAACCTGTCACATTTACTCATTACATTTATCTTTTTCAAGTTCTGGCTCAGACTGCTGATTATTGCTCCCTTACTTGCTAAAAAACCAAAAAACACGGTCTGAACTCCCACCAGTTCTGTTCAGCTATCTATACAACTAAATGGAAACCTTTTCTCCTGTTTTAGCATTACAGAAAGGAATGTAAAACTTCATTGCCAACTAGCAAGACTAGGTCTGTAGAAGTGCTCAGTTATATCTATTAGACATTTAGAAGGAAAAGTGATGTTATTTTGGCAAATGAAGTATTAATATTATAACATAGCAGAAGTTCATCTTCTGTCAAAACTTTTCTAATTACTCAAAGAGGATGAAAACACTTACTAATACCTGGGTTAAGCATAGCTAAAAATGAAAGTTTTCCTCAGGATTTGTAGACTAAGAGAGCAGCACAGCACCTCTGCAGCAAATAGATAACCATGTCTGAGATCCAGCAACAGATTGTGTAGCTTAGAACATAAAACATATCCAGATCACTGCTTCCTGCCCACGGATCTGAGGAAATTTGGCTAGCAAGACCACAGTTCTAGGTCAATAAAGCAGTACAGGCACCACCTTGTGACAAAGCCTAAGCCTACAAAGCCAAATAAATTAATCTGAAAAAGAATCAGGTTTAAACCTGAGTTGTAACTCTTACTCAGTAGCTATCATCTCATTCAAGTGTAAGGCATTTTCAAAACAACTCAGTTTTGACTGTCTCATGCCTCCCCCCCCCAATATTGCAGTTAAAAAATAGGGCTTTTTGCAAGATTCCTATTTTTCTGTTAGATTTCTGAAGATTAGTGTATACAATCTTTCATATTTGTTGAGCTGCCCAAGTTTCATCTAATAACAGATAGTACTACTACTATATTAAGTAGTACCATAGGGTACCGAAAAGAAAACAATTCACAGAGCAGACTAACTAGCCTGCTGTGCTGCTTTCAGTAAACACGCTGCTCTCAGTGAGGTACCACTCATTCTGCAAAGACCATGTTATGTTAAATAAATGCAACATGAACAGCTAAATCACTATCTCCAAAACATGCAGCAGTGAAGCCTTCAATTCGAGAAACTCTGGAAATGAAAGATTAAAACCCCAAATCGTTGTGCATGTAACATCGATTCCCCCACCCCCCAAAGTTTTATTTAGGTGGAGAACACTGTAAAGCAAAAAATCTTCAAAATAAAGCAATTTTAGTCAAATTGGAGCCTATTCAGAATAACTAAAAAGGTCTTGAGACAGATGCATGAGGTAACATGTTTTACAAGTAATTTCTAATGGACTTCATCGATTCAGTCAAGCTTATGCTATCACTGCTCCACATCACTTATCCTTAATGCTTTATTTGATCTAGCAACTTTGGATTCAAATTCAACAGCAGAACTATACCACTGACTTCTAAGTTCAGGGAACTGAAGCTTCAAAGTCCTGAGGTAGGTACAACTGAGTAGATACATTATTGTATTTCACACCTTAAATACTTGGAGAAGAAGAAAAAACACAGAAACCTTGTACAAGCCTCTACACAGCAAACGCAGTGCGCCTAGGAAAGACAGAAAACTGAAGTTTGGGGGGGGTTAATTTATAAAATGATTAACACCTGCTGCTATGTGGAAAGAGATTCACTTCTCCACCCTCTGTATAAGTCTTTGTTCAAAACTTCCTACACAAGAAGCAACCATGTAAGCTTTCTATAAATTATCATAGTAACAACCACTCCACTAATACAGGGGATCAAATCCTAGAGCTGAGACATAAAAATAGGCTTATCTTGCTAAACAGGAATCACGTGTCCTTTTTTTAATGTAGAGCCCTTGCCTAAAACATAATCCATAGTTTACTCCTACAAACAAGCTTTCTAGCATAAGTGCAATGCATAATAGCAAAAGCATTTTCTTTCCAGTCCAATCACAAACCCAGGAAGGTGTCGGACTGTAACAAATTAGTTTTCACTGCACTGACAAATAACCACCGAAGACCTGGTCTTGGACTTAAATACAGGAATACAGTTAGGCTGTGATGTACCTTTAAGAAGTATCCCACATTTGATTAAGGAGTTGACTGGTTTGTTATCTTGTCACATAGTTTTTTCTCAATGTACTTCCAAAAATGTTTATACATATTAAAAAATATATAACATATATAATTTATATTTACATAAACTGTGTAAATAAATATGTTGTATACTCTATATACTTAAGTATATATACTCTTATATATATGTAATAGATACAATTTTATACATAAACTCACCTTTTTTATACACATATTTCAAGCTTAACAGAGGAAACAGCACTAAACAGCACTTGTTTACAAATTCAAAAAATTATACAGAACAACAAAAATGTACCATTTTGAGAAAAGTATACTCTTCACAAAAGCAGCAAGTTTTAGGTATTATGTCATTTACCATGTAAACGGAATAAAGATACAGACTCAAAAATATTCTACAAATTTAATGTCAGGATTTAAGAGCCTCTACACTTCCAATCTTTCAGCCCACAGAAACTGTAAGCAGGGGAGCAAAGGAGTGTGCTTGGAAGGAACTGAAGACAACCTGAACAGTGCTTATATTGTTCAGCTAACTGACCACAGACTTTTCTTAAAGAAAAGCACCACTAAAACATGGCACATAAATCTTTTCCAAAACAAACTCACAAGCAGTGACTACAGTCCTAACTGCTCCCATCTCTACACATCCTGAAATTTAATGCCACTCTATTTTTCATATACTCACTTTTAGAATTAACTATGTGAGTACAGATAGATATCTGCACTCCCAATGTCTCAGTACACAGAAGCAGCAACCTGAACCTCAGATTAAAAACTGGTGATGCAGTGAGAGAGAAGTTTTATGTACTCATACTAAATACTCCCTGCTGCACCAATCAATTTATTTGGCATCCGACCAAGAGTTGCAGGATGGGGTCAGATACACATGCAAACAACACTAAACTCTTGCGGAGATCACACAATCCGTCTGCTGCATGAAACCAGAGATCAAACCCATATGAAAATAGCATCAGTAGGAGTGTGTTTGACTCCCCTTCTAGTTACATCTCTCCTAAGAGAGCAGTCAGTAACACACAGACAACATTCATCCAGAATTATACAATTACGTAATTGACAGAAAGTTTACTTTTTAAAAAGGTCTTTGTCCAGCATAACACCATCTGAAGTCGTTTGAAGGGTCAATCTTAACATATCCATGCACTCTTTCAATCGGGGATCAGATGTACGCAATCCTGTAGATTTGAGTGCCTATTACAATAAAACAATAATTACTAAAATGAAAAGAGAGGTTGTTACAATCAAGTTCTTTACTGCTCGGCCTTATTTATCAACATTAGAGACATTTGCTACTGCGCTCTTAACACAGAGATTTTGACACTTCTTTGATTCTTTGGCCATTTCCTTCTGCCATTTTGCCTGCCTCTTATGTAAAAGGATTAGTCATTGAAATCTACAGTGGCCCAACTGCATTTACACGTGTGCAAACATCACCCAGCCTTGCCACAGACACAGATGCTTTCAAGCATACTCTTTTGCACAGCAAAGAAGTAACACTCATTCTCTTGATTACAGAAACATTGCTGGGGGGGTGGGGTGGAATTAGATACATTCCTTGATGCAGCTACCCATGTATAACATGGATAATTCTTTGCTTTGTATTCCTGCATTTAGAATGTTAAAAAAACCTTGGCAGTAGGCTTTCATATAGCACTCTAGAACAGTGAACTTACAGTTATGAATTTATGAACTGGTATTTTTTCTTGTCCTTCTGCAATAGTATAGAAAAGCAGATCTTCTAAGCTAGGAAGGAGCCCTTGCTTCACTTTACTAGAAAAGAAAAAAAAAGGAAAAAAGAAGACATAGGTTAGTGCGTATTTCCATTTATACACATTTTTGCATTATTCACAAGGAAGCACATTTCCACTACCAGTAACTGCTACCACTAATTTCAAGGAGCACTTTTATCAGTGACCACAAAGCTTAATTCAGCTTTATATAGGAAAACAACGGTAATATTAAAAATGGCATACATACACTTTGTAGTGGCAAACATTCTTAACTGCAACCTAGTCATGTTTTTACTAACATACATTTATGGCTCAGATACCATCTAGAATTTTTTTGGAGCAGATTCATCACGTTTCCCTCTTCTTGATGTCACCAAGGATAGACATGTATCTCACACAGAGGATAAAGTATTTATAAGACTCAAAGACCTACATGCCTCATAATAAAGCTGTAAGAGCAGATTGGCATAATGATTCCATAAGCAAGAGAAGATGAATGTGTATGATTTTCACCAAACTAGTCCTGCTTTTAGGAACTCCTAGGAGGAGTCCTAAAGCCCTTGGCCTTCTAGAAGCTTATGTAAGCAACATCAGTTACAGTGAAAGCAAGTAAAGCTATCTGCATAATGCAGTAACCTGGACCAGCTCAGGCACCAGAAGCAGGAACTTACATTGTGCATATTTATCAAGGTAAACATGCAGTGCAGATACATCTTCAATGGTCACTATGTTTATCAATCTAAATACACTGGGTCTCCAAGTATTCTATGTGCTAGCTATTTTACTCCAAAATATGCCTCTTCATCCTAACATACATCTTTATTTTAAATGAAACGTGAAGGAAACCTACCAGATTAAGCATCAAGATTTCTTCCAAGAGAGAAAGCTTTAATACTGACAGCTTTCCCTCAAAGCCTTCAGATGCTCTCTATGGGTTTAACCTTGCAGTTTCCCCTTTCCTTAACACTCCAAAGCACCCTGCAGCAGGCAGGAGCACAAGACTGCACTCAGTTGTTCACACTTCCCCTGTTAAGTACAGCATCATAGTACAGACTGCTAGGGGCAATGACAGCAAAGGGCTTCAGATCAACTATTTTAGTCCTTAGTGCTTAGATTTGTTTCTAGACAAAGTCAGTTTAGAGAAAGCCAATGTTCCAATGTTTGACAAACAAAATCAAAACAGTTCTCTAGTAAACGGAGACGTAAACTAACTGAAAAGCAGATTATGCAGTCCTACATTGTTTCAGCTATCAGTTTTAAAGTTCAATCTTATGATCTACTAACACTGGCAATACTTTGTTACTATAGTATATATACTTTGTTATTTAAGTATATAAAATATTATTTATTTGAATATATTTAGCTGAATAAATTTGCTATTTATTTTCATATATTTAGTATCTATTAATATAAGTAAAATTATATAAAGAATGAAATATTTATTGCCCCAAACTAGAACGTTCAGTGGCAATTTATCTATTTTTATACACGTATGCATGCGTGTACAAAAAGCAGATCTAAAGTTTCCACAGGACCAGTAATTCTTTGAATATCAGTAATCAGGGTTAAAAGTACAAAAATAAAACACTACAACTAAGCACAGACCCTGGGTAGGCCACTGCAGTCTCACAGACTGACATTTAATCCTCCCTCCCCTCCCAAAACTAGCTTACTCTATCTCAACAACAGGTCAGATACATAATTGCTTTTGACAAAAATCTGATTATATCCAAATACCCTTTTAAATTTAAGACAACCTCTAGATTGCACTTGCCTCCCTCCGTTCCTCATAACTAGCAGTGAAAACCAGCAATGAAAATCTCCCTTCTCGTTTTCCAATTTATTTAAAACACTGTACTTACGTACTAAGAACAGAAGACAGCTTTGTAAGCCAACAGAACTTTCCTTGTCTTCCAGTCTGGATTTTTTGGGGTTTTTTTTAAATGATGCTGGCTGACTAACGCACAGACAAGCTGGCAATTCAACCAAGACAAACGCTTGCAACTACCTCAAGCAAATCACTGAACAACCTTTTTCCTAAAGAAAATTCAGTTCTTCCACACAGCACCCTGCGCTTTCAATCTTTTGAGAACAGTACATCCAGTCAAGCCAGCAGAACCAGAACTACCAACATACCAATTATAACTTCAGCCTGTACCTGCAGCCTAACTGCACAGCTATGGACTTCTTTAAAGCTATGCTGAGTTACGCAGTCTACGCCCCTACACATAGCATTTAACTAAGTTACCCAAAATGTTGACGTTTTGTGTTTTAAGGCATGTCTCTGCCACAAGACTCGTTGCTGGATTGCTGAAGGTCTGACAGAGAACTTTCATATTTCACTTTGACAAGACAATCCTGGAAACACACTGAGTAATTTTAACTGACAACCTACTTAATTACAAGTTCCTGAGCGATTACTCAGAATCTAACAGCTGTTCCAAATGCGGAGTTTTTATCTGGGAGGGTGCAGGACAAAACATTTCAGACATTTCACCAAGATCTTTACCTGCCTCCTCATAAGATTTTAATCTATTAAAGAGATGGGCACCTTTCGCAGCATAAATTATCTCTTGACGTAGTTTCTGTATCTTTCACATCTGCTGCTATTCAATATTGGGCTAGTCAGCCTAATTAAACAATGGATCTGCACTGACTGCCAAAGAGGATGGCCTTCAATATATTTACAGAAAATTGCTCTTTGTCAAACAGTCCATCTTTTGATAAAGTTTATCAGCTAAATAGAGGTGGAAAGGCTTGCTCTGCAGTTTATCAGGTCAGTGGTGTCAGTAACTAATGTTTGCTTAACCTAAAAGCTATGTTTTGGCACCATGAGCACACTTAGCATGATAGTGCTGTTCAGCAGATGTTTTTCAAGTCAGGAAACTTGCAATTTCCACAGTCAAATTAAAGTGGAAAAATTCCAGTCTATTTCACTTCACGAATTATGACTTTTGATACTTATTTCCCTTCTTAAAAAATAGTAAGAATTAATCACCAGACTATTACACAACTAGAGTTCATAAGTGGTACTCCAAGCTGTGGACTAGAACTCTGGTTTTTAAATATATATTAAAAAAAGCAGGAATTCCAAGCACAAGGACTTTGCAGTCTCTATTGTCCCCTCCTTCAGCTCTTCCTTTTGCATCAGTACAATGCTTATACCAGACTCCATGGAGGATTTAATTTTTACAAAAGCTGAATTATAATCACTGCAATATAAAAGAGATTAAATTTCAAATACAATGAAACATTCCTACCTTGTACTTCAATATGTAAGTGCCAAAATGCAGAACATGACTTATGGAGCAACATAACATATAAAGACATGATACTACTAATGATAGTTTCAGGATCATTGTTAAGGCACCAGTCATTAAAATATGAGGTCACAACAACTGTCCCTAACAACAGTCCCTTAGGGGCTCATACTGTTTTAATATCTTCATCAATGACATGGACAGTGGGATAAAGTGTCACCCTCAGCAAGTTTACAGATCACACCAAGCCGAGTGATGCAGTTGACATGCCTGAGGGAAGGGATGCCATCCAGAGAGACCTCGACAAGCTCGAGAAGTGGGCACACATGAATCTCATGAGATCCAACAAGACCAAGTACAAGGTTCTGCACCTGGGTCAGGGCAACCCCCTGTGTCAATACAAGCTGGAGCAAGAGGGAATGGAGAGCAGCCCTGCTGAGAAGGACTTGGGGTACTGGTGGATGAAAAACTGGACATGAGCCAGCAATGTGTGCCTGCAGCCCAGGAGACCAACTGTGTCCTGGGCTGCACCCAACAGAGCATAACCAGCAGGTCGAGGGAGGAGATTCTGCCTCTCTGCTCTGGTGAGACCCCTCCTGGACTACTGCCTTCAGGTCTGGGAGCCCCAGCATACAAAGGACTTGGACGTGTTGGAGCGAGTCCAGAAGAGGGCCACGAAGATGATCAGAGGGATGAAGCACCTCTCCTATGGAGACAGGCTGAGAGAGCTGGGTTTGTTCAGCCTGGTGAAGAGAAGGCTCCACAGAGACCTTACTGCAGCCTTTCAGTACTTAATGGGGGCCTACAAGAAAGATGGGGACAAACTTTTTAGCAGGGCCTGTTGTGATAGGACAAAGGGTAATGGTTTTAAACTAAAAGAGGGTAGATTTAGACTACATAGAAGGAAGAAATGTTTTACAATGAGGCGGGTGAAACACTAGAACACTTTGCTCAGAGAGGTGGTAGATGCCCCATCTCTGGAAACACTCAAGGTCAGGTGGGACAGGGCTTTGAACAACCTGATCTAGTTGAAGATGTCCTTGCTCACTGCAGGGGGGTCGGATGAGATAACCTTCAGAGGTCCCTTCCAACCCAAACTATTCTGTGATTCTACAAAAGCTGCAAGGGCTGCAACCCGCAGTTGTTAGCCACTCTATCTAAAACAGGCACAGTAAAAAGTTGCCACCATACTACAGATAACCATCTCCAACTAAGAGATACGAACACCCACCAAGGCACTAAATAACTATCTTCTGTCCACTTGCATAATTAGACACTGATCCCATTAACACTGGTGGGTAATCATTTATTTACCTGACAGCTTACCAAGATTCAGACAAAACTACGTTATTCATAAACTCAGACCAAAGACAGACAGGTTTTAATAGATATCAAAATGTTTACACTAAAAACAAGAACTGTTGCTTCAAAACCTTAGCCTCTAAGGAAGTTATGAAAGGTCTACTGAAAGTGCAGTTTCTTGCACCTGTGAGTATGATAGCCACACTCTGACAGGAGTAACAGTGAGATGAACCGCTGCCTATACAGTTCCTATACAACTGGTTTCTATACAGCTGAATCTGGCTTGGATGCAAAAGCAAAATTAATTTTAAAAGATAAGTCCAGAAATCACCTCTGTCATTAAAAAGGAGTGCTACCACTTCCTTGCCATTTTAAGGAAAAAGAAACAAATAAAACCCAACCCAAACCCACACCAAAACACTTCTATCAACTATTTTGCTACATTCCATATACTAGTACCCATCAGTATCACAATTTA